TAATGTGTCATTCCAGCGTTTTCGTATAATGACACCAGCTAACAAAAAGGCTTTTAAGTGTGATATTTGCTCTACTGCCTCAAATAGTAATAATAAACAGTCAGTACACAGTGAATCTTCTTTTGAAAATGATCACATAACAATACGTAAAAAGAACACACAAATTACTTGTTCACAACAATTATCTCAACAACTCTCTGATGAAGAAGAAACCGATTATTCTTCAATAACTTCAACGCCAAAATATGAATTAAATAGAAGTTTTACAAAATTGATTTCGAATTGTAATAGTGAAATAGAAAAACTTAAACAAAAAGTGCTGAATCTGGAGAAAAATCTACAAATAGCAGAGAGTGAAATAACAAATTTAGCTTCTGAAAATCATATATTAAACAATCGAATTGCGGACTATGAGTCACAGTTTAGACAATTGACACATAATAAATCAACACCGCTAAAAAGATCGGCAAGAAAAAGACTAAGAAATGAAGATTTAAATCATTCTAATATCGCTGTTAGTAATATTGTCGCAAAACAGATTGAGGTATCATCGATAGATGGCGCAAAAATGAACATTCTCAATGGAACCGTATCCGACATCATTGCACCATCATACAAACAGGTACTTAATGTCTCCGTCCAACTACAACAAGAAAGGTCGATAGATGCCGCTGACACAATAACTCAAGATAAAAACAATCATATTTTTATTGTTGGTGATGAACAGCTGCGGGGACTGTCTTTATCATTAACAAAATCGAGGTGCAGAAAATGGAATGATATTTATAAATCTTTTTCTTATATCATGTCTGGAGCAACAAGTTCAGAAATATTACAGAGTTGTGATAGTGACGGTTCAATTTTGAATAATTTGCAAGAAAATGACATTGTTATTATTGGTATTGGTAGTCATGATAGTGATATTTTTAAATTACATTCTAACATTTGTATTTTACTTAACAAATTGCGTAAGGCGACTGTTCTTTTAGTGCCTATTTTAGAGAACCCTTACTTTAACGAAATTACTCTAAATTACAATTTAAAACTATGGACTAAGCATTTTATGAATGTAAAATATATTGATATTGCTGTGAATTCATATGATTGTTATAATAATATTAAAAATGTATGTGCTAAAATTAATAGATGTATAGATTATATTCAGTATAAAAAACAATTTTTAAACTATGAAAACATAAGAAAATATATAACAAAAAATCACTGTAAAAAAAATAAACCTATCATAACAATACCCAAAAAGGGTACTATACCTTTTTACTTTCAGAAAATTCCGATCACTAATGCCAAGCAGAATCATTTTACTATGTCTAGCTTAAGTACAAGTCAGGATACATCAGGTTTAAATAAAATTGTTAATAGTCCGGAATCTATGAAGTTTTTTCGAACCTAAAACATATGATTCCAAACTTAGAATATTACACCAAAATATACAGAGTTTTTCAAAGAAGAAGGATGTATTTGAAATTGTATTGACAGAACTGCATTGTAAAAACATAGGTCCTGATGTTATATGTTTGAGCGAAACCTTTATACAAGAAGGACGTGAGAGTGATTTTAGACTGCATGGGTATGATCTTGCTGCCTCATACTGTAGAAAAAACAGGCAAAAAAGGGGTGGTGTATGTATCTGTATTAAAAAGGGTCTAAGCTATAGAGTCCTCACAGAAGTGAATAATAAAAGTCAGGATTATTATCTTGAATGCTGTGGCATACACCTTGATAGCTATAACATAAAAATTATTTGCATTTATAGAGTTCCGAAAATGAATAAATATGACCTAGATTTCTTCTTTAAAAAGCTTGAAGACTTGTTTTACACTATTTTAAAAATAAACACTAATAATAAGTACGTCATATTGGGTGATTTTAATATTAATATGATGGATAATAATAAATACACTCAACAATTTCTTGATCTTATAAAAAACTTTAATTTAACATTACATGTCAAACAAGCTACTAGATTAAACTCTTGTATAGATATGATCTTTAGCAATGTCAGTGATGCTTTTGCTGAATTGTTACCCCTTTCTCTGTCAGATCACAATATGGCACAGATGCTGTATATTCCACTGGTTACAAAAAAACTACCGCCGTTAAAATATTTTATCTTTAAACGAGACTACAGTGATGAAAACGTTACCAAATTCATAAATAGTATTTCAGGCTTATCATTTTCTGATGTTTATAATGAAACCGATGTAGATAAATCTTTTAACAATTTTTATGATTTATTTCTCTTCTTTTATAATTTATGTTTTCCTAAGATAAGGCTATGCATTAATAATAAAATCCGCCGACCGAGGTGGATTACGAAAGGATTGAGCGTAAGCTGTGCAACGAAGAGACGACTTAGATTTAGCTACTATAAAATAAAATCGGATAAGAATAAAACAAAATATAATGCTTATTCTGGTATATTGAGACGTTGCATAAACCTAGCACAAAAAATAAATAATGATAAATACATAAAACACTCTAAAAATCAATGCCGTGCATCTTGGAATGTCATAAAAGGTAACATAAAACATATCAATAATAATTACATTGAAAAAATTTGTGTCAAGGATAAAATAATAACAGATCCTCAGCAGATTGCTGAAGCATTTAATAATAGTTTTATAGATTCGACAAATATTGATAATAGTAGCCATTACAAAAATACAAATAAATTATTTGTGCCAAATAGCATGTATCTGAAACCTTATAGCATAGACGAAATACAGAAACTAGTTATGACATTGAACAATACAAAGTCAGAAGGCTTTGATGGTATATCGACGGATATAATAAAACGTAGTCGTATGGTTCTAGGTGAAGTATTGACCTATTTGGTAAATTTATCATTTGAAAAAGGGACTTTTCCCACCATGCTAAAAATGTCTGTGGTCAAACCATTGCATAAAAAGGGTGACACCAAAGCTATAAACAACTACAGGCCTGTCACTTTGGTTTCAGTACTGTCAAAAATATATGAAAAGGCTATGGCTAGACGTATTATTGAATTTATGACGAAATTTAGTCTAATCAGAAAGGAGCAATATGGCTTTCAAAATAATAAATCAACTAGCCTCGCAGGTCATGGTCTTATCAATGATATCATTGAGAATTTAAATGATGGGCGGAAAGTTACTGCCGTCTTTTTTGATATGACAAAGGCTTTTGATTTCGTATCACATAAAATCCTTCTGAATAAATTGGAAAATATCGGTTTTAGAGGACCTGTTATAAATTGGATAGCTAGCTATTTAAAAGAGAGGACACAGTATGTTGAAATAGCTAATATTGACAGAACTCAAACTGTAGTCAAATATAAATCCCAAGAAAGAGTCAATGCGTTTGGCGTTCCGCAGGGGACGATACTTGGACCGATTTTCTTCAATTTTTATATAAATGACCTACCTGATGCCATATCAGATAAATGCGTTCTTTTTGCTGATGACATTTCAGTTCTTGTGACATCTAGCAAGGAAACTATAAATAATATATATGAATCAAATATTAATAATACAATTCAAGATATTTCTAAATGGACATTATATAATAATTTATATATTAATATAGAAAAAACATGTTACATACAATTTGCTAATTACGGTACTTTGACTAATAACCTCAACTTATATTATAATAAACAACTTGTAAAACAAACAGACGAAGCAAAATTTTTAGGAATAATACTGGACAACCATGTTAACTGGAAGGCTCATGTCAATAGGATTTGTACGAAGATAAATAGTTACATTTACCTTCTCAGTAGACTCAGAAAAACAACATCACACTCTACATTAATCACAGCTTACTATGGTTATATTTATCCTACGCTTGATTATGGCATTCTACTTTGGGGTAACAGTACAGATGCTGATAGGGCATTCATTGCTCAGAAGAAGTGTATTAGAGCCATGCACGGATTAGCACCAGATGAGTCATGTAGACCATACTTTAAAAGGTTACGTATTTTACCATTATATTGTATGTACATTTTGAGTTTGGCTTGCTTTGTCAAATTTAATAGCAATTTATTTACGAAATGTAGTGATATAAATAGAACTCAAAGAACCCTCCGTTACCCTGACAAACTTGCTTATAGTGTTAGACCAAAGACCAGTCTTTATTTGAAAAATTCTACAGCTATGTGCATCAAGGTATATAATGCTTTACCAACAGAGTTTCTAAATCTTCCAAAAACGCGTTTTCGAAGGACGATAAAGTCATGGTTGCAGGAACAATGTTTTTACTCTGTAGAGGAATATTTTAATTTTATGTTTAAATCCAGACATAATAAGTGACAAATTAATTAAGATTGTAATTTTTATTCTATGTGATATATATTTATTGTAGTGATTTAATAATATTTAATTGCTTGATAATTTGACATGTGTAAATGGAATAAATGATATAAAGTGTTATGATTGTAAATTTGACTAAAATTATAATTTATTTTTAATCAATAATATTATGGATTTCTTAACATGTTTATGTGATGACATATGACGATTAATTGACATGTTTAAATGGAATTAATGTTTTGGAATGTATAACAATAGTGTGACCAATTACAATATTAATATAAAATAATTTGATATTTGCATGCTAATTTAGCGAATCATGTTTGAGCACCATATGTATTGTAACATCTTTTTATTGTACCATGTTTCTTGTAAATAAATATGAATATGAAATTCACGAAGCAGAGAAACCTTATGAATGTAACATCGATAATCAATCAATCGTATGATTACTGTCGCGGCGTCCGGCCTCCTTGGACTGACTGACTAGTCTACATATGACAGACGGACATCATGACAGTATTGACAGGAAAAAAGATGACAATGGACTACGAGACAGGACGGCGGTGACTGCCAAGTTTCGTGACACCGACTTCCACGACTATATAAAGACGACGACTCCAACGACCAGACAATTACAAATTACCAAACCAATGTTCTTCAATCTCGTGGTGTAATATTTCAAAGGTTCCAGTCTGAAACGCGTTCTAAGCGGCAGAGGCAGCCTTAGGGGGTCCCGCGGTCTCGCTTAACAACCAAAATCCAGTCCAATCCGAGGTAGGGATATTCGATATACATCGATGCATCGAAAACATCGATGTTTGCAATGAAAAACATCGAATCGATCCGATGTTTTGAAAAGCTTTCCATATACTCGATGCATCGATGTTTTAAAGAAACATCGAATTGGTAATAGAGTTTGACCACGTAGTGATAATATCCTCTTTGATTTGATCTCAGTAAAAAAACTTAAGTTTGACCACTATTATTTTACTTATTACTATTATGAAAGCATCATTATTCCGGATTCTCTGTTATGGACCCGATGTTGGCAGCAATGCGCAAGAGTCAGTGCAGTGACAATAAAAAATAACTACGAGTTTCTATGTTTATGAACATTTAATAACCTTTAGATTTTAAATACTTTTTCTTTCTTTCTTTCTTTCTTTAGTTTTGTGAACGAAACTAAGATTGAAGTATATTTCTAATATTCTTTTGACAGACTTAGCAAAAATTTTGCGGGTTATTTAGTGTTTTTTTAATTTGATCTTTTGTAAAAAAATATAATACAGATTTTTCTGACACATGGCTTTTACTTGTATTTACTTTTACCTACTCATTATGAAAGGAGTTAATTATTTTATTTTATGAAAGATTAATATATAAACTATAATAAAATTATGGATTAAGGTCTTTTCATAAACTTCAATAGTATTTTTTTTTACTATGAAAAGATGGCCTCTTTTGTGATGGGTCACTTTACACATAAGTTGAGTTTTGTAATAAAATTTCAGTAAAAGTACTCGATGTTTAAAATACATCGATGTTTTCATCCGATACATCGAATGACATCAATGTATAGTTGCGATGTATCGAATCAAAAAATACATCGATGTTTTTTCAGAGTGGACACCCCTAATCCGAGGTAGGCAAAAACTGAATGAAGTTGGAATGACTACATAAATATGATTACACTAGATAAACGTGATTTTAATAAAAAAAATGCAAGGAGACAGTCGTAACTCAGCATAGATCCTGTTGCGTAGACACTTAATACACAAAACTGCACCAATTTTGATGACATTATTTATAGCATTTATTCACTCCTTGTAACGATACACTACCCAAACCCCCATATTAATAAACGCCGAATAAGCATTGACTAGTAACGCCGTGTTTTGTTTGTTCACATCACTCAAATGCCATTTATAATAATAATAATAATGAATTTTATTTTCTCATCACAAAAGGTTTTACACAAGTTCCAATGTAATCATAACAGTGAAGGCACAAATGATAGGTTTGTGTGAGACTGATGCCTGAGATAGGTTTGGTAACATACCTGTTTTACAGGTCATCAGGCTCCCACCACCTTGGTTTATAAGAACAATTATTATGATTTACAAAAATATCTAGTTACTATCTATTATTATTTACCATCTGTCTATAGTGTTTATGACAAAACTCAGTTAAGACGAGTGTATGAATTAAGAGAAAAAGAGTGTAATGTGTTATAAAGTGGTGTCGCTGTGTGGTGTTGAAACATACAATAATGTTTTCATGTGGTAATGTCCCTACGACTTATGTTGTTTGTGGTAGTTAGAATTTTGGAGTAAATGTGGGTATTTTGTGAACTTATGTGAGAGTGTCCAAATAATCCTCTGTTTTATTTAAAAGTAAACAGCCGACTCTGGCTTTAACTTTACAACGTACATAATCCGCGAATTCATTTTCATCGATTTTCCCATGGGAATAAGATATTTTCCCGCAGTAAAACGTAGCCTATGTGTTAATCCAGGGTGTCAGCTTACTCTATACGAAATTTTATTACAATCGCTCCAGCCGTTTAGACGCGAAGAAGTAACAAACATACACACTGACAAATTTTCGCTTTGATAATATTTGTGTCATAATGTTCCAAAAATTGCTAAAAGCGCTAGCGAAAAACATCAACCGAGCTCGGCATCGAATTACCGATCTTTTGGTATCAACCCTAAGACCGACTTCGTTCAGCTATTAGGGACACGAAAAAAGTATCGATACTTTGTGGTATCGAGTACTTTTCCTTTCGATACCGATACTTTTGTACTCGATACTTTGTATTCGATACTTTTACTAAATGAGTACTTTTTGGCAAGTATCGATACCTTTAAAAATTTGGATAAGCGCCTCATATTAAAGGCAACGCCATCTTGTTAAATCATAGCAAACCTTCTAAAACGTTTCATAGGGTATTTGACAAGGTTTAGGCAACGATCTCACGTCATTAACTAATGTTTATGGAGTCCGCAAAAAGTGGATATTCATCATTCTGTCGTGTATTTCAGTAAAAATAACCAAATCAAAAACTCCGTTTTCAAAGTTGTCGCCAAAACGTTTCTCTGGACAATATGGCGTCTTACTAGTGTGTGACGTCACACGACTGTTATTAAAACGTCAAACGATACAATGTAATATCACTTTGACCGGAAGTTTACTTGCGTGTGACGTCATTTTAGGCTCCGCCAATCCCAAGCGTTTTGGGTCACGTGACAATAGATAAGAAAACTAATATCTTTTTCGTTATTTTGGCACTTTATTTTTAATACTGTCAATGCCCTAATGCGTTTTAATAAAGTCAGTAACTGACATATTCAAATTCTTTCCAATCTGTGACTGTGTTTATTTTGCTTGTTTTGTTTTGTTTCATAGTTATTTATTTAGCGACCATATTGTTAGGAACTGTGATTGATTCACCATTCATTGTGCTTTTCGCTTGACTGTATTTGATTTATTCAAGTGTTACACTATTATTCTGTCTGTGCTGTGTATACCTATTTGAAACCACCTGAAAAAAAGACGGACGTAACCTCTTCTATAATTATAATCTTGAGTGAAGCATGCCAATGGCAGCCGTCAACTACGAGTCAGATTCAAGTTAACATACTTAAGTTAAAAACCCAAGTGGGTATAATGTTTTTTAATGATTAAAATTCAAGAAAAGTAAGTTTAATTTGAAACAAATCTGAAAAGTTTCATACTTTTAAATTGTTTTTAATTAACATTTTTATTATGACTGTAACATTAATGAACACTTTTTTAGTGTCAGAAATCACAGCTATTTTCTTTTCATATTAAATATTATAATATAGCAATTTATGAATTAACATGTCCTTTTTTTGTTTTTAATTATACGTACTATAATAAAATTCGATTGCTTTTCTTACAATTTTAACACCCGGGGGTTGCTCATCAGGCCACAGAGGCTCCGATAAGGCCCTATGAAATGTACTCGATACTTTGAGGTATCGATACTTTTACGAGTACGATACTTTTTTACCGATACTACTCATGAGTACAGTATCGATACTTTTTATTCGATATCGTGTTTCTATCAGCTATCCGTCTATTGCGTGCGACGTGCTACAAAGTTACACCTACCTACCTATCTCGTGTCAAATACTCTACTTCCGTTTCATCGAATCTCAAGTCGCAACGATACTAAAGAAGTATTTACTTCAAAATATTCATAGGTTACAAACCTTTTTGTTAGCTAAATCTTCGCGTCCTGTAACAATGATGACGTGTGTGATTCTTTTATAATGACTTTGATGGTATTAGTGATAATTATAGGCGTATTTACATAAATAAATATTTAGATTTTTTTTTTCTTAATTTTGTAATTAAAAAATAAATTATAAGTTGGCAGTTAGCACATCGAATTCACAAAACAACGATGGTGATCACTTACCATCAGTAGTTCAGTACCCTTATCATGAACCATTATCGAATTCGAATAGCTTAGCGAGTCCGTAATGTCATTGTCATATTTTGCAAACGGACGTAACGAGAACTAAAAATCGTTACACATTTTACAATGACATTTCGCACTCGCAAACGATATTGGTTCGTGCTAAGGGTACAGATGCGCCGTCTGCTCCTTTGCCCCCTATTTACTAATATATATAAAAACAGTGGTTTCGATTCCGGCATGATTATCTAAACTCAAAACTAAATTTAAGATCAGTCTCCTTTTCATTTTGTACGGACTATGACAAGGAGACACTGGTGTCGATTCTGACATCATTCTCTAAATTTAAAACTAAATTTAACATCAGTCTCTCGTTTTCATTTTGTATAGAGAATGACAAGGATACACTGTTGTCAAATTTAAGTTTAGATTTAGAGAATCGACACTAGTGTTGTCAAATTTAAGTTTAGATTAAGAGAATCATGCCAGAATCGATACCACTATCAACATTGTCATAATAGGTTAAGTACTTGATCTAATACTCTTATATATTTTTGTTATTTTTTCTTCTGCAACATAGATAATCAGCCCCTGGACCATATCTTTTTCTTTTGCGGTTCATTTCAAGTACAGAGAAATATGCTGTTTCAAGACCTTCGAAGTACTTTTGGCGAAGAAACCATCCCGCGCGACTTGTGAAAACTTTTACAAAATAAAGACACCTACATTCCTTTGTACAAATTTGTAAAAGCTACAATCAAGACACTTTAAGAAAGAAAAGTTAACAGACAGGGCTCTATGGACTCAGAATCCTTTGCCCGTTCCAACAGGGACAAATTGACAAAAAAAAAAGGGTTTTTTGGCGGGATTTCATCGAGTGCACTTGGCGTCTTATTTTAATTATTCTTAAATTCGTTCATAGTGGATATTGTGAAATAAAAATGGTGTGGTTTTGTGTAACAACCGTCTGCGTAACTGAAGAATTAGTGGAATCGTTAAAATATACGCTATTCCGGTCAAGTGGACGTGAGAATTTTATTGTAGTGTTGACTACCTCACAGAAGCTTATCGAAAAAGCCAACTCGATACATTTCGTGCCAAACACTCCAAGAAACATTAGAATGCGTCACACTGACATTCTAATGTAAAAACAAAAAGAAGATTAATTTTATTAAAGACCAGGCTGTATGGGCATTGTTCCCTTTGCCTTCTCTAAAACGGGAGAACTTCAACAAAAAAAAATAAGAAGATCCCTGTTTTATCCCGGCTGTTGACTGAAAATATACAAATATGTCTCGTTTACAAGCATGCAGAGTATGCCTGGCACATCATAGACGTATGTTTTCAATATTGAATGGGCCACTTCAAGAGTTTTATGAAAATATCACTGAAATTCCGGTAAGATCTCTCATCCTTAATTGCCACAGTATTGGTCTCAATAATTCGTTTAATTAATTATTCATTGCGGCTCTTTTAAATATAAATGAAATAATGGTGATGGTGACCAAAGTGGTTTTGGAAACCTAAATGTTTCTGGACAAAACGGTAACTATAGTAGCAGCACGCTTTAGGATGGACGTTTTGACATATGCCCAGGAAGTCTCATAACCGCAATTCGAAATTCGTTCCTTAATTGAAAGAAATAGTTATTGCTCTTCATTGTCATTAGAGAAGTGCATTTAGTCATAAAATTTAACGATTCAGCAGCACTAAATTAGGGTGTGCAATATTTTTTTTAAAAACTGTAATTTGTAAATTATATACATATTATGTTAAAATTTTACAAAACTATATTATTTTATGTCTAACTATGGATATACTGTACTTCCAGGGCCCAAAAGTAAAAACTTCAGTTTTGTTGGTTGTAATTTCGCATTTTTGTTGGTAAAAAGGTTTCTGTTAACCACATTATTAAAAAAAATGTCACACTTATGCACTGGTAGTTTTTTAGAAAATAATATTGAAAATTTTTACTTTTCTTATCAAGTGGTGATACTTCACACTAGTTTAGGTTAGGTTAGTGTTGTGACCATAACGTGCGAGCCGAGCGAGCAAAGCGAGCGTGCCGCGGTAGCGGCCGGCGAAGCGCCAGAAAAAAAAAAACTGTTAAAAAGAACTTTTCTACAAAAAAAAACAAGTATCACCTTTTGGGCCCTGGAAGTACAGTTTAACTAACTATACCTGTAAAGCTCTGAAAGGTAAATTTACTCTTTGTCATTAAAGAGCTTGAGTGTTCAGATGCAGGCAGATGTTGAATTTTCATTATTTAAGAATCAATTATCATTATAAAGACACTAAATGGGCGTTCAAAAGCAATTTCTAATTGCTATAAATTGTTGTATGTGATTTTAGCTTGTAGTGGGTGACTTATGGCCGACATGCATATGCTACATTTGCTACCATATGATGAGAAAATTTAAAAAGTTTATAGACAAGTCACTAAAGGCAAATGATCTCCTGTTGCAACTCATCAGTTCTGAGTCTGAGGTAAGAACTTGTTACAAACATACAAACATTTCATTACAAACATTCAGTCTAAAGTAAACCTGAACTAAAAGTGATGCTATCACTTTTTTTTGCTGTAACTTTGTCTGCGTTTGGAATAAATGTAATTTT